GCATCTGCGTGTCAACACAATATAAACAGGGTTCATTCAACAGCAAACTGCAGCCACACCTAATGGTGTTATGATTATACCTTCCATATTGCATGATTTGGAATAAGTCCAAAAGTGAGAAAAAACTTCAACACAACAGAGTCACAGTATATTATATTATATTTTCTGACATGTGTTACAGATTTGTTATGAGAACGGATCCAGATCAGCTCCCAAGGGCCCCCTCCTTGCTGACAGGTTCCAGATGTGCTGAAGCTGTTAAACTCCTGTTGAAAGTCTTCACTGTGCAAATCTGGGTTTTCTGCTTGGACTGACTGGTGTGAGAAATGGTGTGGGGTCATTTAGCTGCTATTTCACAGCATGCTGCTTTATACCTCTCTCTGTTAAACCCAAATACCTTCTGATAGCGGTCATTTAAGTAACTGAATGTTTTGTAACCCCCATGACAAATAATTGGCTTTTTGTTTTGTCTTCATGCTGTTTTGGGGAGTAGCAAAATGTGACATTGACTTGTAATTTGGGGATTTTGAGGGGATATAAAAAAAATTATTAACATATTTCCTCAGGAATAATACAAATAAATTGCTATAAGACACTATGGAAAGGATAGAGCAGGTAGATAGTATTGTGTAATGGAATTGTGTGGCAAGAATTGAACAGAAAGTGTATGACCAGATGTATTGTTTTTTGATAAATAAATGCACAAAAACTAATTTTCTGGATAACGTGTAGTGTGGCTGCTTCCAGTGAGGAGTGGCTTGTAGTTTTACTAGCTGCTGTTTCAAAAACTGTGTATATGACGGATCATAAAACAAAAGTATGGGCTGCAGTACTACAAAGCTTTATGTCATTGTCCAGTGTCGGTACAAGTATTCTGCAACGAGGATCTTCAACTGCATTTTGTCTTTTTATCAAACATACCAGGTGAAGCTCGGGGGTAAATGGGCGTCTACCAATCTGTGTGTCAGTGGTTCGATCCCCTGCAGTCCACATGTCAAGTGTTCTTGGGCAAGACATTTAATCCCAACTACTTCTGTATTCATGTAGTCAAGTGGCTCCCAACCATTTTTTTCTCGTTTACCCCTAGAGCTGGTCTCCATTCTATAAGTACCCCCTCACCCATCTGTTATGATAAGCCTGCATTTTTTCTTGTATTAATCCCTTTGTAATGGTATTTAAAGGTCCCATGTCATGGCCATTTCTACCAAATCAAATCAAGTTTTATTTATATAGCGCATTTAAAAGTGATTATTAGTCGAGCCAAAGTGCTGTACATGTAATAAAAACACTTTACTACAATCACAATAAAAGACAATAATTTACAACAGAAATATAAAAAACAAAAACACAGGGAATAGCCAGGTGTCATGTCTGACTAGAAGGCCAGGGAGAAGAAGTGTGTTTTTAGTGAGGATTTAAAAACCCCTAGGGTCTGGGCCGACCTCACATGGAGGGGTAGAGTGTTAGAGCCTGGGGCCAGCCGCTGCGAAGGCTCGGTGACCTCGGGTTTTGAGCCTGATCTTGGGCACTAAGAGCAACTGATTACTGATCATAATTCCATTGTTGAAGTATACTAAAATAGATTTATATTGTGCAATTTTCCAAAAGCTCCTGTCCCCCCCGCCCCTCCCTATGAGCCCAGTGGCCATCTGCGAGACACAGCAAAACCCAGCCTGAACACACACCCGCAGCCTGGCTGGGAGTTGGTGTGTGTGCTCACACACCGACTCACAGCCTCGCAATCGGCGGAGCTGCAGCTGAGAAAAGATTGAGTGTGTGTGTGTGAGGAAGTCCGCGGATTGGTCCAAATGTAACGGCTCCTCGGACGTAACGTAACGGCTCCACGGATTGGTCCATTTGGACCAATGGGTCCATTTGGGTATGGGAGGAAGAAAAAAATGGAAAAAGAGAAATGTCCAACGAGTCATTCTGGGGCAGCATAGACAGGTCTTTTCTGTTTTAGAGTTTTACTTGCTACAGGGTGTACTTTGAGGGTTTGTGACTCTGCAGACCGTTTACATGCAGAAAAACCTTCATAACACACAAGGGGACAGGTAATGACCAGAAAAGCATGACATGGGACCTTTAAGCCTACTGCTTCTTAGATGAAAATCACTGTTATAACTCACGCTTAATACAAATGCATTTAAAGTTGACATTTACACTTATTGTCATTGAAAAAAATAATATCAAGACTCACTTCTAGAAGCTTTAACATATTTTATTTAGTCACTAGAGCTTTCTTCTCTTGCACTTCTCTATGCAGGCTGCCGCAGTGTGAACGTGAACTACTTGAGGAAGTACAGTCTCTGCTGGGCGTTCTTTACATGGCAAGAAGTGTTTACAGATCATGTGAGGCCTGCTGGGATGTGTACTCCCAGGAATGTGAAGCCAACCACTGTCAATGTTAATAATGAAACTATATTAGGCTCATATTATCACGGTGTTACTCTGACACCAGCAGGAAAGGGACTCAACTGCATAACCCAGACAAAATGTTTTCAGAAACAGTCTTTACTTAAATGAAAGCAAACTTGTTTTCAGTGGTGTAAAGTAACTAAGTACAATTACTCAAGTACTGTACTTAAGTACATTTTTTGTTACTTTGTACTACTACCCCACTACAATTCAGAGGTAAATATTGTACTTTTACTCCACTACATTTCCGTACCTTTAGTTACTTTGCAGATATAGATTAATGATAAAAAAGTATGATCCAAATTTGAATAATATTTTAGTTGTACTATATCTGGATTAAATTCACATTATACCAAGCAGTAAACGAGTTCCACCTTTACCAGCTTTGATAAACACATCAATCGAATAAGCCAATTTGCATAATGAGTACTTATATCTGAATGCCAATACTTTTGTACTTTTACTTGAGTTACATTTTGAATACAGGACTTGTTATAGAGTATTCCTACACTTTGGTATTTCTACTTTTACTAAATTCCAAATCTGAGTACTTCTCCCATCTCTGCTTGTTTTACAGTCACTGCCAGAAAATCAGACAGAACAAAGTAACAAAACAAACACTTGACTAACAAAGAAGTAAAGCTCAAAATACCACTGGGAATACCCTGGAAGCAAGGCCCAATTCCAAACCCACCCCGTTCACTCTCAGCTGCATTAGGCTCCTTCTTAAGGTGGAGGGTGTAAATACACTGAACAAACTGAAACGTTGAAGTTATTTAAATGTAATATGTCAACAAATTTCACATAACTGTATTGGGTTAGTAAAAAGCAATAATATTAAGTTGAACTTAATATTTTATTTAAACTGATTATTATTTATTTCAACTAACCTAATACAGTTAGGTGAAATTGGTCGAGATAATACACTTCATTAAAATCAACGTTTCAGTTTTTTCAGTTTACAGTGGAAAACTTCAGGACCAACCCCCCTCAGGAAATGGTAACGTTTGGTAGGCATAGTTTAGAGTCAGCATCTCTTGGGTAAAAACATATTAAATCACATGTATAATAAAACTATAGAAATCTTTAGGCAGAAGGGCAGATATATAGATATATGAGCTTCTTGCTTTTTCCGACAGTCCCTGTAAACATGCAAAACTTTACAATTAACATCGATTAATATATCGACATCCATTGCACGTCTGTCCGTCCTCGGAGAGGGATCCCTCCTCTGTTGCTCTCCACAAGGTTTCTTCCATTTCCCCCCCATTAACTGGGGGGTTTCTTTGGGAGTTGTTCCTTGTCCGATGTGAGGGTCCACGGACAGAGGGTGTCGTATTCATATTCTGTATAAACTGTAAAGTCCACTGAGACAAATGATGTGTGATATTGGGCTATATAAATAAAATTTGATTGATTGAATCAAATGAACATTTCTCTAGTTTTCTAGACTTCACACATTTAAAAAAACAAAACGTTGTAACCTTGAAACTCTGTGTGAGAATATGAAATATTTGCCCTATTTTGCGCACCTAACCAGTCAATGTATTCACGAAATGAATTGTACACTGCGTTGTTGCACATGGAGAAGTTAAGTCAGAACAGATTCAGACTTCCTGTTTGAGGGTTTTAATAGCTTCCTTTTGGAGGGTTTAATAACTTCCTGTTGAAGGGTTTAATAACTTCCTGTTGGAGGGTTTAATAAATTCCTTTAAGATTAGTTTACTAACTTCCTGTTGAAGGGTTTAATAATTTCCTTTAAGATTAGTTTAATAACTTCCTGTTGAAGGGTTTACCCACTACTCTACTGGGATAGGCGTGTGGCACAGTGGATAGAGCCCAGGTTCAAACCCCACTTCAGTCAGCATGTCATTGTGTCCCTCAGACACTTCACCCCAAATTGCTCCTGTGGGGATTGCACAGTATTGAGTATGTAAGTTGCTTTGGATAAAAGCGTAACAAGTAACATGTAAATCTACAGACCACCCAAATCTAATCACACAAACACGCACATGAGCAATAAGTGGGTAGGGTGGGGGTGAGTTGGAATTGGTTCTTTTAAATGATCAGTATGTTTACTTACTGTTAATAGGATTTCAATGCAGGACTTGTAATAGAGCATTTTATTGTGTTGGCACTTTTACTCAAAATATATACACTAAGTGTATTACATTACTGGTCTGTGGGGCTTGATATGGGCTCAGTTCATGTGTGATCTGTGAGGTCAGCAACAGTCTGTCTCAGCGTGGCCTCATATGGCCTTTTACTTCAGATCTTTCTTGGAATCCCAATGGGGGCTCTGCGTTCTTTTTTTGTCACATCCTGTCACTGTGTATGTTTGCATATGTGTGTGTGTGAGAGAAAGAGAGAGCCTGTTTAACCCTTACATTGCTGATCTGGTTTCAATGTCCTCCCTTCCCCATGTTGCAAATCTGTATGTGTGTAGACCGAAGGCAGAAGACCCCACTCTTTGACAAATAATCTCTTCTTTTATTTTGAGAGGGAAAACAACAAAAACATTCCTCACAACGTTGACCTGTATAAAAAATATAAAAGATATACCAGTCGGCTGTTTGGTGGTCTGAGTCGCATCAGAGTGGGGTCCGGCTGTGACCCCGACTGGATGCTCATATTGTTCAGTGCACGCTTTACACACGGCTGGCTCTACAGTGTCACTTTACTGTGTTTACATTACAGTGTAATTAGGAAACGCAGATAGATAAAGCATTGTGTCTCTCTGAATGTAATAGGCAAACATTTGACCCCATGTTTAAAAGTGTTTGATTACATAGAAGCAAGGTAAGTGCAACATTACAAACAAATTAACACATAGCCTATTTGCTTGCTCACATTAAGGGTGTCATTTAAAAAATAATAGGATTGTTAGTAAGTAAGGAAATCTCCCACTCATAACATTTGACTGGTGATATGCTCCTTACTATTTGTGTGGCAGATATAATTATTAAAGGGAAAAAAGGAAAACAGAACAAATCAACAAAACCTGTTGATAAATTAGGTAATTCCACTAATAAAATTAAGCTTTGTTAGTGACTCTGAGGCTGAGGCTGCACTGTGTTTCTTTTAGCTAAAGGCTAACATCAGCAAGCTATATTGCTCCCAATTACATTGCTAACATGATAAGAACCAAGCAGTCTAAGGTCTAATGTTTACTATGTTATCCGTCGCATTTAAGCTAATTCATATTCTAACATTTGCCAACTTGAAGCAAACACAATATGCATCTGATGCGAATGTTAGAAACGCAAGACAAAAAGTCAGATAATCAACAAGTTTAAAATGTCATTATCTGCGGACATGGACATCTACAGACAAGGATTAGGGCCACATGAGAAAGAAAATGAGGGTGTGACCAAAAGTTAAATAAAATGTTAAGTTTTGATTTGATCTCAGAATTCTGACTTTTTTCTTGATATTCAACATTTTGGGGAATACCCTCATTCTCCTTTTTACCAAAAGGGAAGGGAGAAGATTGAGTTTATTCATCTCTGTGTGTTCATAGCTGGAATCAGTAGGTTAGCGTAGTTTAGCATAAAGGCTAGAAGTAAGGAGAAACAGCTAGCCTGTCTGGCTCTTTCTGAAATCAAAAAGCACTTATAAAGCTCACTGATATGATGTTTATACTTGTTTGTTAGATATATTTAAATAAAGGTTTTATGGGTTACACACTGTTTTTACCTCGTTACATATTTAAATGTAGTTTATATGTCAGCAAAGCTATGTTTTTAGTCATTACAGACAAACTGATGCCAAACTTGGCAACCTTAGTGTGAAAACAAACTGTGAAGCTGCAGCTACTGAGTCTGAATGTTGTCCAAAAAGAAATAGTTCCAGCATGAAACTTCACCTGAGTTGGCGTTTATTTACAGCCAAGATGGTATTGTTTGTTATTGAGTCAGTGTTTCAAGATTTCATCACCACGATAGCCCTGCTACTGTGTAAGGTGTAGATGAGAAATGTAACAGATTTAAAGTTGAGTTAAAAACAAAGGTTGAGTTAAAAGTTAGGCATTATCCGAGCATGAAGGATGATGGGGTCATTGGCCTCTGCCAGGGACATTTTGTCCCTGGCAAAGATGGTCTATTCTGTTTGTAAACCAAAAAAGGTGTTTTTATTTTACTTAGGACAGAGCTAGCTGTTTCCCCCTAAATGTTCCACAACTTACCATGTCCTGAGAGTGATATGGATCTACTCATCATACTCTCCACAACAAAGGAAGTTTGCATATTTTCCTAATGTTAAAATATTTCTTTCATCTTGCCTGGTGAACTCCTTGCTAGCCTTAACCCTGACCCATATCATGTAGCACACATAATGTGATGTCCCAAACTGCCTCTATAAACATGGTAACATGGACAAAAGCTTCCTGATAGGTCAACAAATAGAGTTCATCAGGGCTAAAAACACATTAGACCCAATCCTCAAACTTCATGACTCCATCAAAGCCTTCATAGGTGAAGGGTTCCAGGACAGGGCTGCAGGTCTCTTGAGCAAGGCAGGCCATCCTGTTGCTGTCACAGCTGTCCTCGCTGCCCGGGGAGAGGTACACCGAATCAGCAGAGTGGATGGACGGGTCCATGTCAAAATAGTTGTGTGGCCGCAGCAGGACCCCGCCCCCGTTGCCTACGGTTACCGTGTTGGGGATGTCCTCGGAGTGGGGGATGTGAAGGAAGCCGGTGGTCACCCAGGCAACCAGGTCCTGCAGAACAGTTTCGAACACATTATATTAGTTTCAGTAAACATGCAATACATGATTGTATCATCACGCTTCTTAAAGTGCGTTCACATCGGACACAAAGGGAAGATTCGCAACTTGAGCGAGTTGGACCGCGGCATCATTTGTGTTTACTAGCGTCACTCAAACTAGACGCGCTAGCACAGAGGCGGGGACTTATCTCCATGTAGATACCAACAACAACAAACTAACATAATATGCCGTGATTCAATTGTTACACACGTATTCAAAAGATGCCGTTATAACTACATACTGATACTCGTTAGTAAAAACCATGAATTAATGCTTTGACAAGTGTGTTTGCAACAAGGCAGACAAAACACTTTTCAAATGCATGTTTTCTGAATGGAGATCTAATCAATCGGGCTCGGCTAAGCTACCGTTGTAGCTGCTCCGTCCAAACTCAAAATAATGTCATGCTGACATAAATAAAGTAGCGACTGTATTCTGTGTGGGTTTCACATGTATAGTCTGATTCAACAACGTCAGTGACAGGCTGAGATTTATCGGGACAGCATCACGCGAATGTATCGCCTTGAACTCTCACAAATTAAGCTTGGCCACGTCATTCACTTAATTCACACCGCCAATTCCTGTGTATCTGCGTGTTTGCGTTGACTTTACATTAGGGGTGTAACGGTATATGTACACGTGTACGTGTATAAAGTTGAGATCGAAAATCCTCCAGCATCATTGAAGTCTCCGGTTTGGGAACATTTTGGTTTCACAGTTACGTACAAGGATGACGGACAAAGACAGGTGGACCGAACCAAAGCTGTTTGTCGGCATTGTTCAACTTAAATTGGTTACGCGGCTGGCAATACATCAAACTTGCAGACTCATTTGAAAAGGCATCACCCGAACGTGAATATCACCGAGGTACCAAAAGAAAAAAGACTGAAGTGCAAACCCAACTCCCACTAGCATTTAAGCCTCCACCACTCGCAAAAAGTTCAGACCGAGCCAAAGCTATTACAATGCTAGTGGGAGTTGGGTTTGCACTTCAGTCTTTTTTCTTTTGGTACCTNCATTTTATTACATTTTATTTATATAATTAAATCGATTTTTTGTTTGTTTTATCTGAGTGTTCCAGGGTATTCTCTGAATAACTTGAAGGCCCTGACGGTTCGCCACTGTATAAAGCATGTATAATATTAGTCCAGACTACCATTGGTATTACCAATGGGTTTTTACCTTAGCAAGATAAACCTAAACAAGAAAACATAAGGTCTCTTAGTCAAATGTAAATATTTCCTCATGACTAACTGCATGACTGTCCATAGTAATTGCAAATAAATCACAGTTCTTATACCCCAAGTCATATTGTTATATTTTTGGAAATCAATTAACGACAGAAGAAAATGACAACTTGTTCAGAAACCCTGCATCTATAAACATGGACACATTGCATCGAGATTGTTTGCAGAAAGCAATTGACACTCTTTGCATTCCTTTCTTTTTGGGGATCCCTAAACTTCTCTGCCAGTTTTTCTTGTTTCTTGGCAATTATTGGTAGCCAGTTACCTTGTTAACAGATTATAATCATTCTATAGGGAAGACAAAGAGCCGCATCGATCACCACCATCATATCAAATATCGACCCTCTTCAAATAGAGTTAATGACACTGATGTTATGGAAGTGCACTGTATTTTCCTCCGCTCTTTTGTTTTTCCCAGATGGATTTTGTCAGGTTTATTGCTCATAGTTCTGAGCCACAAAAAGCTAATATGCAGAAAATCACTCCGGGTGCTTTCATGGCCACCTTTAACATCTCCGAAGCAAAATACCCTGCTAATACATCACGGTAATAGTGGTCACACAATCGTACACACAAACTGAGTGATCTGCCAGCTGCTAGCAGCGAGGGCAGTGCAGGACCATTAGCCTGACACTTAGACACACACCATGTCTTTCATTGGCCGCGAATGACATATACCGCTCTGTGGGTGTCCCTGGTCATCGGTGAGACCAACAACTGCTACAAAGCCATGGTTTCGATAACACATTTTCCTAAAATAACGCACAGGGGGCTCTTCAACAACCCACAGCAGCTCAGCATGTGTGCACAAGGCCTGTGTGTGTGTGTGTAGGTTATCGCCACTGAGGGGCCCATAACGGTCTCAGTGCCTCAGCACCGTGAGTAAACTGTGTGGAAGTGTAGCCAAACAAGAATACATACACGCGCCTGACCACACACACACACACACACGCACGCACGCACGCACGCACGCACGCACGCACACACACACGCACACACCAACACACCCACGCACCCACGCACACATGCACGCACCCACACACACACACACACACACACACACACACACACACACACACACACACACACACACACACACACACACACGGTAGATATATGACTTCAGGGTTGGGTATGAAGGGCTGGCCAGGGTGATGTATAGGCCAAGGCCTCGGTCATAGATCTAATAGATACAATGGACTCTGGAGCACACACACAGACACACAGACAGACACACACACACACACACACACACACACACACACACACACACACACACACACACACACACACACACACATTTCTGGCCATGGCAGAGGGCTGGGTGATAGCCGCTGATGAACTCCTTCTCTCCTACACCCACACACACTCACACACTGATCACTTTCTACCTCATGTCAGCCAATACGACAGGCTGTCAATTCATACATCCATGCATGTTGTACTGTTGTGTAACTGGCTGTAAGTGGTGTACAGCAGGCTTGTTTTGCAGCGATGTGCAGCGTCATCCACTCCTCTGGCTCCGGGCAAGCCATCTGCTGGAGCTGAATGTGATAACCAGGCAGATAATCCACTCCACTGTCTGCTCGCTATACTTTGAGCTGCACGTCTCAGATGGTGTAGGCAGCTGTTTGGTGGCCGAGCTAAGAGAAGCCTTATTTATTGTTGCATTACTCGAGAACAGGGTCTCTGCTTTATTTACTTTCATTGCCAAAGACGTAGGTTCTTGCCAGGAACAACTACTGGTAAGTCCCATCAGGGGGCTACTTACAGCTGAAACAGATTACTCTCCCCTTAGTGTTCAAATAAGCGATTCAAAACTTGATCCTGATCCACCTAAAGAGATTAAAATCTAAAGTTGAATTTTCTCATCGGATTAATCAGAATATAGTGAACTAAACTGTGTAAATAATGTTTATGCTGATGTCGGATGGCTTTTTCCTCAAAGCTACCAGCTCTTCGCTTGTCTTTAAACAAACTGGGCAAAGGAGACGTAAGAAACATATATTCTGAAGATTTTCATATAAAGACGATTGATCGACTTGATGTATTTGGTATGCTCGTTAGCAACATGGCCAATGCTAGCAGCCTGGCTAACCTCTGTCCAAAAGGAGAACTACTGAATAAACCAGTACTGTGATAAAGGCAGTCAAGATAATAAGAAAGAGTATGCAATCGTTGTTTATTACTGATCTAGTTTAGGAGAAATAATACATTTCATCACTATCTCTCTCCCCTTCTTTTCCAAGAGAGAAACAGTGCATTACAAAAGCTATCTTTAGTTTGTTACTGGTGTTTTCACCTTAAACCGGGACTGCATTTGTGTGTTACTAGTAAACAGGGTACATGCTTTAGTTAGAACTATCCCTGTTTTGATTAACTGTTTTCTGTTAACACTTATATCAAAACGTATTATTATTGCAGTCCTTCCTCAGCACAGAACAACATTAATTTCATCCTCTGGTTCTCTCAGTTTTTCTTCATTAAATAAAATATTAATTTCAGTTCAGTTATTATTTCCAGTTGCTTACATGTTGCTTTATTTTGATCACAGTTCAGCTGTTGAATACACTGATGACAGAAATGTTTCTATATTGAGCTTCCAATGGATTACATGGCCAGGTACTTCCTGTTACTGCTAGACTTCTATTTTGAAATCCAACGTTGTAAACGGTGTCCTCACATTCATTTCATTTGAATCATTTTTTTAACATAGAAATTGCTGTATTTCTTTTTTTTATTGAGCCCAAATCTTACTCGACTCTTTTCCTACAAACAGGTGTCACTGCATTTGAAACTAATAAAATCATCTCAGCTTGATTACAAGTTTTCACTTGTTCTCAGGGAAAACAATCTACACACTAAGCAGTCAGCAAAATGAAATGCATCTCAGTAGCCGATGGGTTTTTCATTTTCTTTCATTCTTGCTCTCTTTATTTCCTAATTGAATTTCTTTCCTTGAATCTCAGCTGGCAGAATGCAATCTTCACTTAATGATCTGCTGGATAGTGCAATTAGACCAGTCTCTGGATGCTTTTTTATTGTTAGCACCAGCCTTATATATGTGATTGTGTGTGAGTGGAAGGAGCACATATACAGTGTATTTCTCGGTAATAAGATTGCGGCTTAATTGATCATGGCTGTTAACCTGTAGCTTGGGGTCTCTTGGTAACACGTAGCAACAGAGAGGAGAATACAAAGTAGAATACGGTAATTTCGTATATTGTGTGTGTGTGTGTGTGTGTGTATTCTCTTTTGTTTGTGTGTTCTCTTTTGTGAGCACTAAACGTGTCCTTGCTAACCTTACCAGCTGTTGGCCCATCAAAGCACCTGTTCCATTTTCTGTGCCATGACACTGACGTGACACACACACAAGCACACACACATCGACACACACAAAACCACCACGTTACTTTCAAGTACAAATTCAGATTCAAAACATGACTTCCACTCCAATACCACCTCTGTGTGAAATGTGACAGACACACACACACACACACACACACACACACACACACACACACACACACACACACACACACACACACACACACACTCCAGATGACAGGAACGGTTAGCCGTCCTGCTGATCTGATGCAAAAGCAATCCCGTTGATGGGCATAATCCCTGTTAGAGAGAGCAAGAGAGAGATGTAACGCTTGCTGACAGCGAACGTGCCTCAACAAAGGGGGGCTGGACGACCGC